TTCACAAACATATTTGTTATTAGTAACTGTTCTGTGGCTGGCAAACTGTGACTATCACCCTCTCCCAAACTCTGCTTTCGTTGATTAGTTCTAATCTTAGATGATCACATGCTTTCATCCTTTTTACAGGAGTTCAATTTGTGTAAACTAGTGAAGTTCCTTTGACTTCAACAAAGTTACCTTGGTGGAAGTGAGCTGAAGATCAGTCTCATGGTTTCTTTTCTCCTAAATGAGAAACTCTCCTAGGTGAGAGTCACATTTTGGCCTGGGCATTTGAGATTTGTAGAGAGATTCAGCTGGTAAAGTTAGCAAGAAGTAAGGATGAAAGACTAATAAAATTTGCTACTTTTCCATGCAAATCATGTTGTGTGGTAGACCTCTGTTAGTTAAACTAGATAACGTATGTTTAGCTTGCTAAAAACTTCAAATTATCCTACCACATGCACACACAGAGACAAAGACACAATCATCCTTTGAAGAGTCACTGCTGACTAGACCTGCAAAACTTCTTACAGCTCTCAACTGACTTGTTTCACATGTAGAGCCTCCCATGTGTTCCAGTATTTACAGGACAGAGCATTACATACATAAAATAAAAATGAAGAATAAGGAAAAAAAAAGGAAAGGAATTAATACGCAGTGAAAGAGTAAAATGAAAAAAAGAATTCCTGCCATCTCCAAAGAGAAGTTGATCTATATCAAACTTTGTAGGTTCAAAACAGTTACAAATGCGACAGATTTCTCTGTTTTTATAAAGCAGTTTCCAATAAAATGACTAACAACTGCCAGCAGCTGCTCAGTTTTTAAAGGTTCTCAAACGGGTTTGTAAGCCTGGTCATTTCAAATTTTGTCTCGTATTATACATTGAGCAAACACAATATATAAATCTTTAAAATGAAAAAACCACTATTTCCTAGTGTCACTTTTACCATTTTTTCTGATAATTTTATTTGCCTCCAATTTAGAATTCAGCATTTTCATAAAAATAACAGAAAACCAATAACCGATCAGAGAATTGCTGAATTTTTCTTACTCACTTGCTCTGCTTGGATTTAACCCATTTTCACTTGCTGAGGTGTTTTTTTCTTTCTATCATAGATGAACCTGCTTGCCTGCCTGCTAAACAGAGCTAGATGCATTGCAGACTATTGCTGCATCACCTCCCCTGTGCTATTCCCCGCATTTGCCTTCATGCTCACTAGTTATGTTGCTGCTCTTCCAATCCTGAACATCTGCATAGAACCTCCATTTCTCCATAGCACTATTCTGTGACTGCTGTATGGTGCTCTGGGCTAAAATGGACAGAGAGCATCTGCAATGTGAAACCAGCACAGACTTCTTCAGTGTTTCCTTTTGCTCCTGGTATAAACAAAAAGACATGGAGTAAAAGACATATTGAATTCTAAGGTCACCAGCTGATCCTTTGCTCTGTTGCCTTCAAACATTGGAATATTTAAGTTCAATATTCCTCATTTAAGAAGACACCAACCAGTATATGTATATCTTCTGAGTACAGAAGTAGAACATGTGGGATACAGGCACTCACACAGACACACACATAAAATAACAGGGTCTCTTAAGTAATAGTAGTAACCACAGCATTTTCATCCTAGATCTCCATGATAGTTTTGCCTCTCAAATTTCTAATATTAGCACAAGAGATACCTATACATATGTATCTCATGAAGAAACCAACCAGATCCATCTCTCTGGCAGTTTGAATCTACGAATTGGCCCTTCAGCAAAGATTTATTTCAACTTATGAGAAAAAATATCATTACCATATACGTAAAAATTCAGACTATCAAGGCAACATGAACAACATGTTATGAATAAATGTTACATGAATAAATTTCATCACAAAAAGATTCCAAATACAGTCATGAATATGTGGCTTCTTCATATATCAATCAGAAAAAATAACCAAAAATATTATTTGAATTTCATTTTGAATTCATAACATTTTATAACTGACATGAAACTGTTTGTGAAATCACTATGAAATATTTGCCAAATATGTGATATACGCGTATTTTTCTCCTGCTGTTACATGTCTTAATTATTACCATTTACCAGCTATGGATTAATTTCTAATTTCATAGTACTACCTTTTTATGCTCGAACCATCAATCCAAAACTAGCTTGGTTTTGTCTTAATTACATGCTAGGAGGAGCTGATCCCCCTTGGCTAAGCAGATTGTGTTTCTCCAGAGTTTATGCTATAGGTTTTCTTATTACTGTAGCACTTTTCAAAGTTGCCATGAACATGTCCTAAATCAGTCATTTTCACTTGAAATTAAACAAAAACCTACTGTAATTCTGAGTTATATATAGCACATATAGCTCATATGTGAGATGGCAGTGGAGATTCCCAGTTTGAAATGTTGTTGTCCTCCTACTTTTAGCTGCTCCTATTTATTCAGGAGTGCTATGGTGTAGACAGACAGGCACTTTGTTGCATTTCAAACTCCACCGCAATTCAGGCATAAATAGGGACTTCTCAGTATTTTAACTAACTTTCCAAAGAAGTCTGAAGAAAACAAGATTATAATGTGATGAAGGCAGTCGAAGATTTGTCCAGAAAGTAAGCATCCTGTGTACTAAAAACTTCCTTAACCTTTACAGTTTGAACACAGGTATCCCACATGTAAGAGACTCAAGTCCTCTCCTAGGAGGGAGTCCATGGGATGCTGGCAGGAAAACGTTCTATCCTCCCACCTGGGCAAGAAGTACAGGGAGAGGAAGGAGGAGGCAGAGGGACTGCCAAGAGATGATTCAGCTGTCATGAGGGAGATAGGTTCTGCTCTTGGCGCCCACTCCCACCTTTGCTTTAGTTTTATTGACCAGGGATGGTCTAAATAAGAACATATACCCACTTCAGGGAGCAGCCTCTGATGTTTTGGCTTTGTAGACAGCAGGGCTCTGAGACAATAATTATTTTCTCTCTCAACTCCTCACCTTCTAATCCTGAAAGCCATACATTCCTGGCCCACATCACTGAGATGAGGGGAGGTCCCAGTATGCTGGAGACCCGTGGTTTGTGTGCTGCCCAGGGAGGAGAGATGTGAATTCAATCCTTCTCTGATCAAAAAGCTGGTTCTCCTAAATGTCTAGTAAATGATCTAAATTCTAGGGTATGGTTAAATACTGTGATGCTTTATCACAAATTATTTTGTATATTCTTCTGAGCATCTTTAAAGCTATCAGCTCCATAAGGTTTTATCTCTAGTACAGAGCATGAGGAAAGGCCAGGTGATCTGAGTCCCTGAACCCTATATCTGCCTGGCTTTTGCCCTATACATTCAGTAGAAAGACAACTGCCTTGATGGAAGTCTTTAAGAGTGCTTAGCCTTGGGGTAAGGTTGCAAAGTTCTTAGGCACTTACTATGAGAAGCTGAATGTAAAGCATAGACACTTCTCCAACAAATCCACTGCAGATAACAGTTTTACTCACCACAGGTGAGCATGTGAGTAGGAGCAAGTCTTACTACCTAAAGCAACCAAAGAATAATAGAAAGTCATGATTGACTGGAGTATGATTTATATTTCTTTTTGACTCTATAAATGCCAGCACATATGTATTTGGAATAGGTACTAAAAAAAAAAAAAAAGTGCACTAAGGTGGTTGCTTGTCACTCCCAACCTCAGATTCTTACCAGTTTCAATCGCTCTTTCCTTCTCAGGCTGCTTTGTAGGACCAGAACTTCTGCCAATCTTCTTCTTGGTCTAAGCCATCTTCAGTGAAGTGGATAGTTTGGATATTTCCGTCTGTATTTAACGCAGCAGACAGACCCATCCTGTATCATAAAATACTGAACTTTATTAGAAATTAAACATTTCCAGCAAATTTAATTCTTGTTCCAAGGCCTCCAATACCTTACATAAAGCAATACATGGAAAGTTGATAAAGGGATACATGAAAGCCCTTGAACAGATGCGTTTGAACAAGTGTATTGTTCTTAGTAAGACTGCTTGTAAGCTGGAAGTTAATCGATCTTTTCCTGAATGATGGACAGGTTTAATCTTATTTTTTTGCAAGGCTTTTATTTTGAGTTGGGGTCTGCATGTAACTGTGGATTTTAGTTTGGTTTATATTGTTTCAAGATTTTTGAACTGGGTATTTGTCATTCCATTACGGTTACCAAAGTGCGATTTGTCTGGTCTGCCATCAATGAGGAGTGGCATTCAGCACTGACCATTTTTTTCTCAACAAGCATAAAAGCAACCTCATTAGCAAGTCAGGTAAAAGGAGTAGTATATTCAAAATGATCTTTAAAAATTTAGGCTTAAGTCCTCAGTAATGTATATTTCCTAGTTCATTAATGCAGAAATACTGCACATAGATTTTAATCTTAGAGTTAATAATAAAAGCAATTTTCACTAAAAATATAAAAACTGTAATGGTAGAATCATGATATTGCATTTAGCTCTCCCACAAAAAGTCACTTTATTACTTTCTTTTGACACTTATTTTCATTCTGGGATTAATTTTACTATATAAGGGCTTCTTAACTATTCTATTAAAATTTCCATTCAGAAGCAATAATATCTAAGAGTGAATAATAGTCATGTAAATCATTATTTCATATTAATGTAAAAGATTTTGTAAGTTCTTATGAATTCTGCTGACATGCACAATTGTGAAAAGGTTATCTCTACATTCTGCAGTGATATGCGCTGGAACAAAGGAACTATTTTAAAAGCATCAGTGGAGTACATCAAGTGGCTACAAAAAGAACAACAGAGAGCCAGAGAATTAGAACACAGGCAGAAGAAATTAGAGCATGCTAACAGAAGACTTCTACTTCGAATTCAGGTTTGTATAAAAGCGTTGTCATGAACTACAAAGCTTTCTCAGTACTTATCCCTCATCAAATTTTATTAATCTATATCATTTTTCCCCAAATGGCGTTTATTAAAAATGAATTGGCTTTCCCTATTTATTGCTGTGTATATTGGGGAGGGGGTATTTTTTAGATTTCTAGGAAATTCCTTTGATAAGTAGACTTTACATAAAGAAATACATGGAAAGTTAATAAAGTATTTGTACAACCAATTTCCTTATGTATGAATTACAGCCAGGGAAAGACAAAAAGGAAACAAAACAGTGTATCCCTGCAGCCAAAAATCAATACAGGATACAAAATTCCCTTCAGTATTTTCGTTTTTCCTTTGTAACCATTTCAAATTTTGTGTTATATCTGCTTGTGATATGAAGCAGCAGAATACAGCCCTGCATGACTTGAAATGCAAGATTTGAATATAGACATACATATGAAGATGAGATAGACATAACATCAATCGTCTTATATACAGCAATTTACTCATATATCTGTATATCATAAGCATCACCAAGTAAAGTATGTTCTGCTTCTCTGGATAGCAGCGGATAAAGAACTAAAAAGTTGCAATGTTTTTCTGTCACCCGTATTGGGTTCAACATACAATGGTTTTAGAGAGGTTGTCCTACTTCATGTTCCTTTAGGACAGTTGCTCAACAACAGGAGGGGAAATAAAAAGGAAAACACTGAAGAGGTAAATTTTCATAGATTATCAATTTTGTATTTTAAACTGTAGTCCCACAACTGGACAAAAAGGTATAATTAATTTGCATGTAAGAACTTTGTACTTATTGCAATAGTTCTGAAGACACTGTTTTGTCTTTCAAAGTCATTAACTAACTGTTTTTCTTTGAAATGTTAGGAACTAGAGATCCAGGCACGTGCACATGGCCTTCCAGTCATGTCTTCGGTCAGTGCTGTCGATTTAGCCGCACAGGTCATCAAACAACAGTCTTATCCAGAGGAGAACTCTGTAGACTACTCTCAACAAATGCCTCTGGCACATGGACCAAATTCTGATGTTTGCGATGGATCTACAGCCTTTTCTGATCCACTTTCACACTTCACAGATTTGTCCTTCAGCGCAGCTTTAAAAGAAGAGCAACGACTAGAGGAAATTTTACTGGATGACACAGTGTCACCATTTGGAACAGACCCACTCTTGTCCTCCACGTCCCCAGCTGCATCGAAAGAGAGCAGCAGGAGAAGCAGCTTTAGCACAGATGATGGAGATGATTTATAAAAGGAGAAAGGGCCTCATACTTCTCTAAACCACTTGCTAAAAGTCTGAGTTGAATGTAAGCATGGTGTTTGTGCTTATTTTAAACACGAATAAGGAGAGACACTGTGAAGATAAGTTACTACACGAAAAGGGTTTAAATCAGCCTTTATTTCACAGGAAAATGAAATGGACGTGAACTCATATCACTTTGCCCCACATTCACACCCCCTGTTCACAGCTGACATTTGCACAAAACTTTCTTCACTGGGATATTTTTACTGTCATTACTTGACTTTTTACAGTGCTATGAAAATGATTACTACAAAAGGAATACCCATGTTACAGAAGTGTATTCAAACTCTGCATTCACTATTATCTGCTATAAACATGAGTTTTAGTAATTTTTCAATTTCTTTTTTATTTTAATATAACTAAAAAAATCTACAAAATGTGAAGCAACAGGGAACTATTTAAGCTGGGAACTATAGAGATGTTACAAGTTTTAAAATCTGAAAAAACAGACAGTAATGCCTTCGCACAAGTGAAGTGAGCATGAAATTTAAACTGCGTAGGCTTCTCTTTAAAAGGAGAAAATCCATTAAGCTTTTCACGGAATAGCGTTTTTTTAAAAAATTCATTTGTAGAAAAAGAACAGACTTTTAATATATGTTTTAATTATACAGAAGAAAAATGGAAACTAACATAATGACAGAGACTCAAGTGAACTCAGACAGAAAAAGATATGACGTGTCTGCAGAAAGACTGTATGGATGTACAAGACTCAACAAAGATACTCCATCTTACAGTCAGCACAATTTAAAACAAGCAATACCAGTAACAGTGCTATGCCAGCTGCTTATTCCAAGAATGTTCAGACTGTGTCCTTTTTTGTATGGAAGAGATCAGAATTCAGTGACACGACAGTGTGCTTCTGGACAACACTTTCGGTGTCCTTTGGCAGCACAGTTCTTTATCCATACGCATGCCTTTGATCCATTTGGAAATGGAGGGAAATGACAAGATTCCCATTGCATACTCTTGAGACAAAGAGAATTTAATTACAAATTTGGCTTTGGATTCACTACAGAAAGGCTGAAAAGGAAGACTTGTCAAACCAAAGGGGATATTCGGAATGTGATGCACGGCTTCTCATAACTAACTTGCTAAGAGGAGGCGTTTGGAAAATGTGTTTTGATGACTCAGTAAAGGCTTGGCAGTTAGAGGGCAGGTAGAAGGCATATCATTTCTATACATAGTGAAATTCTGGAAAGTGATGTATGTTCCTGGAGGACATTAAGTGCAATCATCCTAATTGTAATATTAATACATCGGAAAATAAACTGGCACAAGTTCTTCACAGCTCTTCCTCAAGCAGAGCCAAAAGATCACATTAGGGATTTCTCTAACGATTCAAAATATGTTTCAAAAGTGTGTATTAATTTTACTATCACTGTTCCTGCCTCATGCCCCAGAAGTGACGCAGAATTGGAAACAGCAAGAAGAGATTAAAATAGATTATTATTGTTTGCTTTCAGTTTTAAATGTATTTAAACATATTATCCAGGAACAGAGAAATTGTTTCTTCTTATTGCCTCTTCTGTTATTGATATCTGGGTGCTCCTCACAGTTCTTGTGAGGTTTGTGTTCCTCCAGGGCCCTAGCCCATTCCTGACCAACCCAGATAGTCTCATGATGGTTTCTTAATTGGAAAGTTAGTAATGGAATAAAAAATTACATCTGGATGCCTATGAAAGATGATCAAATATCCAATTTTGCAAGAATATTTATGTTTTTAGGAAACTCAAGCATTTCTATAAGCCTATGCAAACCGTTTGGATGTAAGATGAACAGAGCAAAACTGATCTTCTTGTTGCGTATGTGTGGGGTCCCAGACAGCTGAGCACACACCTGACCCTCAGAAGAGGCTACGATATGCTTCCACTGCATGTTTAAAAATAGTAACAACAACAAACAGTCTTTGAGTCATTTTATTTTCTTTTCTTTAGCACGGAAGAAAGGAATGGAAAGACAAATGAGTATTAACCAAAGGTAATCGAACATAGGACTGATCAGCATTTTAATTGGAGTGCTTCTATAAATTAAGCTTATTAGAAGAGGAACCACATTGTCATAGCTTTGTCAAAGACTAGCTAATATTGACATTTGAATACAAAATACGATGAATTAAAAGTAACATTTATGCCCACATTATGTCTAGTGTAGGATGTGTGTTGTCCATTTCAGCTGATGAAAGGAAGGGATACTTGGTTGATATCAAATGCCATTTTTCCTTGTACTGTAGTTTCTACTACATTAGTTTTAAATACACCAGTGTGGATTGCTCATAATGGAGAAAAAGAAATTAAATATGAATGTATTACACGATTTTCCCATTGAACTTTTACATGGGAGTTAGACCATACTTCTGAACTATATTGACTTTAAATAACATTCTGAATTTCATCACTTTTATAAGCACTGTTCTAAAAAAACATTATACTGCATCCATTAAATTTTTTAAAGATGATTTTCATTCTTCTGTCTGAAGCACCAATTTTTTTCTCTCTTCCTGCATGAGAAACTTAACAGAAGATAGTGAATGGGTCTTTTGCATCTATCATTAAACACGTTTGAGCTCTCTTCATTCACACCAAATCCCCAACCCCCTTGCCCAAAACACTAAATGTATTACATTTTGTCTAGTAGGAAGTAACCGTAATTAGTATTTTCGCTAGTAACTATAATCTGTATTTCGGCATCATCCTTGAAATTAGGTGGTGATACAGGGTGCAAGAAGCAGTAATCTAGGACATTCTGAGGACAAACAGGTGGTACTGAGGGCATTTAGGAGATGTGTGTGCTGGAAGCCATGTCCCAGACTTTCTGGAGTGAGCACTCCTTCTGTCACGCCAGGTTTGGTGAGGCTGCGGTGAAGCTGGGAGGGCTGTTAGAGCAGACCAAAGCCTGGTCCTACTGGCTTGTACAGACAAAAGGGATTTCATGACTACAGGGACAAATCCCGACGTCCTTCCGCAGGCAGATTTTCTTTGCTGTCCGTGCGAGTTTTATTGGACTAAAACATGGTGCAAGCAAAATACGCTTTTTTAGCTATTTCCTACAGAGATCTGTTTAATGAAATCATGTGAAAGAGATGCATAATATATCTGTGGCTGTGGGCCTAGAAAAGAATTTAAAGACTTACAGAGTTTGACCTCGAGCAGGACAGAGGGTGAGGGGAATTTGCTATTTTTGTCAAGATGTATTAAATGAGAAGTTCTTGCTTGTTTTCAGTAGCAGCTGTTCAAAGCTGGGGGACATATTCCTACAGAATACACAAAACAGCCAACTGATAATTACACAAAAGGAAAGGGAGTTGAAATATTAACATCCTGTTTAATTCATGAAATGGATATAGATACTATACTAAGAACAGAAACCTAAATTATTTCGTTGCGTATAGCGTGGGTAGTGTGAAAAGCTACAGTAAGTGCAAACAGTTTTAACAAACAGGAACACAGTTGCTTTATAGAGTAAAATAACTAAATATAATTCAGTCATTTAATCTTAATAAGAACATTGTTATTATAATACCTTTTGACTTTAATAGGGCTGTATATATGAATGGAGGATGTAAAATTATTGTAATTTAAAATTATGTTAAGTCTCTTAGACAAGTAAAGGCATTTACATTACTATTATGAGACTGTAGAATATTTTTATAATAATTGCTATTTTTCATTGTTAACCACATAGTATCTTGTTTTCTAAGTCAGTGTATACAGACAGAATGTACTTTATCACGCAGTGTATATGCAACCTTTTTAAAATTACGTTTTATACATGCTGGTATTTTATGTTTATTATATGAATACAATTAAAGGACTGAAATTAAAACATCTCTTTATATGTCCCTTGTGAAACTTCACTATCCAATCTCTCAAAGAATGCCACCACAAGACAATATAATAACATCCGCTAAGAACATCTGAGATACCTAACAGACAAAACACTTCACAACTGCTAAACATTTAGTCCATTATGATACATCATGATCCAGTAGCTTCCCATTAATAAAAATAATTGATACATTCTTTAATATGGTCTCCTGCCATCTGCTTATTC